TATATATTTATAGTTTGTGAGTTTTAAGTAATCTTCAGGCTTAAAATGTGCATTTTAAAACGTGCAAAAAAATAGCTCTGACAGCAAAAAAAAAAAAAGTTAAAAAAATAAACGTTGCGTTTTTTTTATTTGTAACCATCTTTAATATGCAGTACAAGGAAACAAACAGCTTTTAGGAATTGACCAGATTAGTACACAATGTAATTAATCCTACTACTATACTATGCTTGCCTACACTACTATACTACTGGGGCCCTTGGGTTTTACTACAAGAATCAGGCAAAAAAACATCTGTAAAAGTTTTCTTTAGCATTACAGATGAACCACCAAGAAACTGCATACAAAGGACTAGATAGAAAATATATCATAGGTGTATTTTAAAATAGAGACAGTATATCAACCAAAAATCCAGAAAAAAACAAAAAACATGATACATATGTTATAAATTGAGTTGCAGTTCAGTGAGTAAAAGAAGTATTTGATCCCCAAGCCAAACATGACTTTTGGTACCTGGTGGAGAAACTCTTTGGTCTTGCCCATGATGGTGAGGTTTGAATAAAAGAAAGAGATTCTGTGAACAGATTTCTTTTATATACAGAACGAGCTGTCGTTAGGAGCACCTTCTTAAATCGACTGGACTAATCTGTGTACCACATAGCCAGTCTGTGGGAGGAACCAGAATTATTGTTGGTTGGTAGGGGATAAAATACTTTTTACTCACTGAACTGCAACTCAATTTATAACATTTGTATCATGTGTTTTTTCTGGATTTTTGGTTGATATTCTGGCTCTATCATTCAAAATACACCTATGATAAAAAATTATAGACCTTTAATTTCTTTGTAAGTGGGCAAATTACAAAATCTGCAGGGGATCAAATATTTTCCTCACTGTATAGTGATGTAGGTCTTCAAAGCCAATCATATTGTAGCCCATATGGTTCCAATTGTAAAATCTCTTATAAATAAGGGGCCTGCGAGCCTCTGTTCTTAGAGTTGCCTGTTGCTAGTTCCAAGATGTAGTTATCATTAACCCTGCAAAATAAAAATTCTAGTTTCTTCCTTTCAGCAGACATGTTTTAGCAAACATATTTCTAATAATGCAAATACCCCATGTATGTTCTAAGTTATAGGATTGGAAGCACGTCAACAAGATATATTTGGAGTGCATAAGGATGTATGCTTATATGGTGGCACGTATTCCTCTGGCTGACAAGACACCTTCTGAACAGTTGGGCCTGTTTTCAGGGTCATTAAGAATTGTTATACTCTAAACCAGGGGTGGCAAACACAAGGCCCGCCGGACCTTGTAATGTGGCCCGAACGCAATTTTAAAGCATGACATGGTGTCTATTTACCCGACGTGACCCCGACTCTTATATTTTAGCAAAAATATGGGTGATAAATGGGTGTGGTTACTGGGGGTGTGGCCGCTATCACCAGTAGCAACTGAATGCAGAGGCAACTATTTATGATAATAAAGAGTAGATGCATAGTCCTATACAACCGGCCCTTTGAGGGTAACCATACTGCTGATGCGGCCCCCGATGAATTTGAGTTTGCCACAAGCTTTTACCTGAACAGAAGCGATACCGGTCGTGGCTGCATCCACAGGTACTCGAGTCTGAGACAAATCCATCGTCCACGTTCCATCCCGCCGGCTTTCTCAGCCGCGCCGAGAATCCTGCCTCATGTACCGCTCTTTGGCTCCTCCCTTCCCCCTGCGCCTAAACAAGGCTTGGAGCGTAGCCTCCAGCACACGGAAATTGCGTCATCCCCAAACCGGAAGTGATGGTCCGCCGCCATGAGATCTTCTGGTCAGAGCCACGCAGAGAGGCGCAGCCATCCTGGAGAGGACATGGTTAACTGTACAGACCATATTGGTACCGAAAAGGGAGCCCAGGACATCTCTTTGCGGTCAGCCTGCAGAGTGCGCCGGGAGCCAGATAACCACCACGCCGAACCACCACGCCGGACAACCCATGAGAGGGTGAGCTCCAGAGAAATAAAAGTGACTCTTCTACTCCAGACGGAGGAAACACAATAACTAACTGAGGATGGATCTGTTGGGATCCCTTTTAAAATTCTAATTGGTGATGGGTTTTCTGTCCAGAGGCGGAGCCCCTCACACTCATGGGCTGTCCTGGAAGACGACTGGGAAAATATTTTCCAAAGAGACCCAAAGTTTATGAATGCCATTATACTTTCGACCTACAATATGCGCTGATAAAGTAGAATGATCAAACAAAACCACAAGATTTTAATCCTCCTCCATTCTATCCACAACACATTTTTGGCTGGTTTTACAACAGACATGGGGCACTAGCAACTTTGATAGCTTCCTTATTGTAACAGATAGATGAGAGCTTCCAGATTCTTGCACCTTCACTTTTCAATCCTCAGTAAATATGATTCAACTCCCCGTCTGCTCCGCTCCTCAGTGATCATTCTCCTCCAAGTCATCCTTTGCAGAAGAGCATCTCCTGCTTCCCTTCAGTAGTACTGAAGGCTTCCTTTACACCAGGGGTGCCCACAAGGACGATCGCGGATCTACCAGTCGATCGCGTAGCGATCACTGGTAGATAGCGATGTCCTCTCCTCCCCCGGTGGGGCTTCTCTGGATCCCCGCTGCTCTCCCCTTCTGTATGCAGCGGGGATCTGAGAAGAAGTGAAGGAACCTGCAGCCGGGGAGGACGGAGCCGCTGTCACAGACAGAACTAATGCCGAGCGGTGAGGGAGAGGGAGGAGAGGGAGAGCTCTCTGACAGCTGGCGCCTCTCTCCCCCCCTCACCGCTCGTCCTTAGTTCTGTGACAGCGGCTCCGCCCCCCTCGCACCCACGGCTGAAGTGCTCTTTCACTTCTCAGCGGATCCCCCGCTGCCTCTGCCCGGGAGAGCAGGGGGGATCCATGGAAGCTGAGCCCCCGTGTGCGTGGCCGAGCGGCAGAGGATCGGTACATATCAGTGATATGTACCAATCCTCTGTGCAGGACAAAGACTGGAGCCATCAGCTGATCACTCCAGTGTTTGTAAATAACTGGGGACACATAGTACTTTACATCACGTCCTGTTCATTTATGAGTTTCTCAATGGGGAGAAGCACTCTGTATAGAGGCTCCTCCTCATTCAGAAACTGCTTGATAGTACCGTATTTTTCGCTCCATAAGACGCACTTTTTTTCCCCCAAAAGGAGGGGGAAAATGTGCCTGCGTCTTATGGAGCGAATACCTATCGGCTGACGCCCGGGACATGCAGTTTCGGGCGCCGGGCGAGTAGTTTCTTTTTGTACATTCAGCCCTGCTCCTGACAAGCAGAGCTGAATGTACAGTGGGAGCCGCTGTTCGTTTAATACAAGGGATCTAATTAGATCCCTTGTATTAAATCGAGTGGCGGCGGCATCGGCGATCGTGAAAGCATCTGTGCTTTCCATTCAATTAGAATAGAGGCTGCAGACTTTGTGTCCTCAAATTTCTTTTTCTATTTTAAAAGGGAAATATCAGGGGGCTGTTTAGACCCCTGATATTTCCCCAAAGCCCCCCCAAAAGTTAAAAAAAATTAAAATTACACAAATTAAAATAAGAAATAATGAAAATAAAATAAAACTAGTAAAAAATTTAAAAAAAACTTTTTTTTCTTGCCTCAGGCGCAAAAGGAGCTGGCTACGGCTATGCTCCAGTGGTGCTCGTGTGGCTGACGGCTGAAAATCTAGTGCCTGCATTCCGGTCCAGTGCAATCTGCAAAAATAGTGCTCGCAGAATTTTTGCGGATCGCACTAGACTGGAACACAGGCACCAATGCAGGCCGATCGCACTGTGGGCAAGGGGCCTGCCTGCGGAGCCTGGCTGCTGTGCCATTTACTTCAATGCATTGCCACGCCCCCTCCCGCCCATGAATGCAGGTGTTTTTTCGTTGGTAGATCTCATTGAGCTTGTCATTTGAAAAGTGGATCTCCAGACGAAAAAATGTGGGCGTCCCTGCTTTACACCATCGCAGCTCATGCAGCACATCAGTTGCAATGCTACATTCTCCTGCTGTATGTCTGCTTCTTTCCATGCTTGTTGTCAGTGCTCTCACTTGAGAACACAGATTCTGAAGAGATTGCATACCAGAAAATGAAGGCTGTTAATAACCCCCAGTTACAGCACAGAGAAATGGAAGTGGATATGCATTCACAGGGGCACACCTCACAAAGACATCCAGACCACCTGCACTGTGACTGCTGTATTAAAAAGGAGAACTATGGGGTTAGGGCTTTTCCCCATAGTTCTCCTTAGGGTAACGGGAGGACACAAACTAACGTCCTCCCGTCACCCTAAGCTCAGTATACTGCGAGCTACAGCTCGCGGTATACTGAGTCCGTGCGGGTGCACGCTGCTCCATAGACTTACCTTGCGTCTCTTCTCCCGGCCGAACATATGAACTGCGCATGCGCCCGCTCCAAGATCCTTTGTGACCGCCCTAGAAATTTTCTGATTTTGGAGGGGAGAGTGCGGCAGAGACACAGGCAAGTATTAACCCTTTGAATTTTTTTATCGTTTTGCATATATCTACTGATTGCTAGCAGTAGATATATGCAAAAACATGCGAGGGTTTAATAACCCTTTAATGTTAAAGTGCAGAGCAGGTACATAATATATGATATTCTGGGTAGCATAGTGGTGACATAGCGCAGGACTACCTGTATTCTGCAACTGAATCACTTTCCCATAATATCACCTTTAGATGGTACACTGATAAAAGAATACATAGCTAAAAGTAAATGTAACAGACTTCAGGCACTCACTCGTCATCTTTCATGATGCCTTCCTGACTAATGGGACTGACAGGGGCGATGTGCCCGGTGTCAGAGCTGTAATTGCGGAAACAAGCGGTGAGCTTCTCATCAAAATCATTAACCAGGTCCTCCATGGACTTGAAACCTCCCATGATGTCCACGGTGAAGCTGTTGTCCAGCTCTGCCAGGTCCTCCAGGGTACTTAGGCCTCCCTGGCTGCAGGGATTGCCGCTAGCGGGATTGGAATTCACCTTTTCCAAACTACTCTTGCCGTCTTCTGAGCTGGACTGAGGACGGAACTCATTAAAATCCTGCCAATCCTCATCGAACTGGGCTAGCGGGGCCGCCATGTCGGGGTCCCGTGTCGGGAGGAGCAGAAGGGACGCTCCCCGTTTCTCTAGATCGCCACTTCTTGTGGCCAGCAGCGTTGTAAGTTCTCCGGGCTCACGCTCCCGGCACGCACAGTCCACAGGAGCAGGTCCGCTCTTAGTTCCTGCCTGTCACACTGCTGTGTCCAGAGAGTAGTGAACTCACTAGACGTGTTTACAGTGGGACAACAGACTTAAAGACCGTGAGAGCTCTCTTGAATGAAGGGGAATGTGGGCGGAGCAGACGCCACGTGACTACAATAAACTTCACTGCCGCGGTCCATTTTAGTTTCTGGCAAAATGACGTCACGCGTGTTTACACGGCTACGACTATCATATCACGTGACTTGGAGCGGCTTCTCCGTCCTCCTACACGTAAATGTGGCTACATTTACTTTATCATTCCCAATTTCCCATAGCTGGCCATACACTGGTAGCTTTTTCTGCAAACGTTCTTAAGGAAAAAGAGCATTCGATAACGCCATCACTTTACAAATGTTCAAAATGTTATTTGATCTTGAACTAGATGGAGTTTCCCAAACATGGACCACATTTGCCATTAAAATCAGTGGCGTCACAAGAGGGTGCGGCTCGCACCCGGGTGACACCATTGGAGAGGTGACTCCTAAATGACTCAAGGCAGTGACACAAGTGGTGGCGGGCTGCCTTTGCGAGCAGTGTGTCATGTAATTTTCTCCTCGGCAGTTCAGCTTGCGAGAGCTCGCGTAGCTGAGCGCGCCGAGATGAAAAATGTCATCTTCAGCCAATCGACTCACGTGTATAAACCAGCGTGTCGGCATGCGACAGCTGGCTGCTTGTTACGGACGAGCCGATTGGCTGAAGGTGCAGTCAATCATCTGACTGCACTCAGCTCACACACTGCACGCAAAGCTCTGTGTCGGTTAGCTTTGCGTGCAGTGTGTCACCCCCTCTGAAAAGTTGGGCACTCGGTTATGGACCAGAGCCCAACAGTTGCAGAAGATAGGAGGGGACCCGGCGGCATACCTTATCGCGCCGGGTGAACATTCCCTCCTCTCTCTGCCGGCATCCATCACCAAGATGGCCACTGGCAGGTATCAGCATGGTGGCCTTGCATGCGCGATGACATCATCACGAACGTGCCTGATGACCTCACGGTGGGGTGTCACCTGGTATCCATTCACACCTATTCTCTGCACTGCAGTATCACTTTGAAAGGTCAGGGAATTTATAAAAATTGGAGCAAAATGTTAAACAGTTGCCCATAGCAACCAATCAGCGTCTCGCTTTAGTTTGTTCAGTTAAGCTTTGAAAATGAAAGATAAAAGCTGATTGGTTGCCATGCACAGCTGCTCCAGATTCTGTCTGCTACAGTTTCAATACATTTCTCCAGTGTGTTTTTTGCCCTATAGACTTCAATGGGAGCACATGAAAATTGCATATATCATGCATTTATGTGTATTAGCATATGACCACAAGCCCCCACGCCAAGCAACCTATACTTTATTTCACCTATCAGCAATAAGCAATAAGCTGCTTCCTCTGTTAACAGTGGCAGATTCCTCGATCAAGGCTTGTAAGCATTACCAGAGGAAACTGTTCTATTTCTTTCATTTAGCCATCTGTAATCAGTCGGGCTGATTTGTAGTCTGTGATCATTTGGTCTCTCCTAGGTGTTCTGCTACTGTCTGCACCTGCCTGCGGTGAGGGGTAACCATGCCACAGAGTGGGGCCAATGGGAGAACATTAGGGGTGTCTGTGTCTCTCTAGCAAATCACTAGGAGTTTCATGGCCAGTGGTGCATGCTTGGCAAGTGCATAGGTACTCAGGAATTACCATGTGCTCAGTCTGCCCCAGCCTGGGGGTAGGGTGTACACAGTTGGAGAAGCTAATGAGGCTTGAAGTCCGCAGGAAGACTGATGTGGACCCAGGTGGGGTCTGGCATGGAGAAGCAGGGGAGCCCTTTGTCTGCTGGAGGTACCAGGAAGGCCAAGTTGGCATGGACCTCAGGAAAAAGATCTTCTCCCAGGGAAGATCTAAAGTATGTATTCTGCCCAGCCATGGCTCTATTACACAGTGTTATTCTCTGCTCAGCTAAAGTATTCCTAAACTGTGGAATCTGGTAAGGACTGGTTAGTCTGGAGTCTGTTTTGTCCATGGATGTCTGTAACCAGTGGTGTATTTAGGTTTGGGGCTGCCCTAGGCAAGACAAAACTTGGGCGCCCGCCCCCCCCCCCATACCCAAAAATTAAGCCTGACCTCTTTGGAACACGGCCTCCTCATCCTTGGCGCCCAACACGGCCTCCTTGTCATCTTCGCCGCCCGAATGGAGCTCCGTCTTCGCCCTCCGCCTCTTCCAGCTCAGGGGCCACTCGACAAATTTTTTTCTCTCTTGGGGGCCGCTTGCCAAATTTCATACTTTAAAATAAAATATAACTGTACCCAGTTTGGTACTACAGACACTAATATACACTCACAATAAGGTCCTATCCATATCTGTAGGTTTAGGTGCGATTAGGGATTATGCTGGGAGGAGGCTGCACGTGTGTCCCGGTCTGTCGGCGATTGATTGATGAGGTCTGCTGCAGACCTCATCAATCGATCCTGCACAATCCTTTCGGCCAGCGTTCACTGAAAAAGCGATGGCCAAAAGGATTCGGGTGCCGGCGCAGACTCAGCTACAGGGTCTGCATCCGACAGAGATGCAGACCGTGTAGCTGCTCCCGCAAGTCAGGTACGCGGTCCTCGACCGCGTACCTG